AAGGTGTGCAAGAGTAAATTGCCAAAGATATTACAGGTATAAAACATCTGTTTACTAAGTAACAAAGTCAGAACTACAGAACTTTAAAATAAGGAAATTCTAGAAACCATCCAATTCAATCCCTTAACAGGTAAGAAAACTGAGGCCCAGAGCAGTTAGTTAGGCTGCATAGTTAGTTCAGAAAGGTCTGGAATCCATGTCCTGGAAGCCTCTCATTGCCCTTTCAGTGCATCAACTGGCCTCAAAATAATTTAACAGAAGCAGTTAAAAATTATTGTTCTTCAAAATGCTTATTAACCAAAAGTAACCCACATTGAGATAGATGAGTAAGGAATAAAGACAGGTTGGGGTAGAAGAAGTAAGAGAAAAAAGGAAACACCATAATGGTCTGTATTCAAGCCTAAACCCTCCCTAATCCTAACAGGGATTTTTCCACTCAGGTTAACTTGCAACTTGATGGAGCCATGTGGCATAAAGAGATGTAAACCACTATTTCCTGCCTGCCCTGTCCATTATAGTCAGACAAGAGGAAAGTGATGCCAGAGAAAAGATCCAAGAGGACCTGTCTGTCTCTAAACCTTGGACAATCATTTTTTTGAAATTTGTTGAGCTGCAGTAGATTTGAGAACAGTTCCAGATAAAGGTATACACTAACAAGAACATGAATGTCCGACTGTGGCATAACCAGGTTCAAATCTCAATTTTGTTCCTCTCTAGAGTCACCTCATCTCTGTGAATCCTGGTTGCTATCTTCTCTGTAAAAATAGGGATAAGCATAATACCATGTCTATCATGCAGGGATGTTGTGAAGAATATGTGGAATTGCATATACTTTGCAACACCCCTGCATTATAAAGATGTTATTATACTTATGCTGTATGAAGCTGTCATCTAAGCCTTTAAGAATGAGGGCAGAAGTACTTCTTGGAAGAACACATTTGAATTAAGGAATGCTAAAGCTGCACCATCCTGAATGGCAGAATCTTTTCTGGGCTGCTGACAGGTGTCCCCTCCATTGCCAGTGTGTGTCTGTTTCTCCCCTCTCCCCTCTCAAGCCCTCTTCTAATCAGCCAGTCCCCTGGTCTATGCTCATTCCCAGTTACTGACCCCAACTTGCTTATTTAACTCTTCTCAACTCTGATCACTGGCTTTGGGATTCAGCCTTTATCTTTCCTCTGGAGCTTGGCCCTCTTCTGACCCTTGGCCCACGTCTGTCATTGTGCTCCCATCCACTTAGCCCCTGTGGGACAATGGTAGCCCAGAACTCCAGCGACACACTTTCTCCTGGCAATTTTCCAGGCAGACTTCTTGATTTGAGTCTTTCAATAGCTGATACACAATTAATAAGTGCCATTTTCTGTTTCAATTGTTCATTTAACTTTACAATCTTCAGAGAAATGTTAAGATCTTCACAGACAATTTTGATGCAGACTAAATATTGAAGAAAATCATTTTTAATATCAATAACATATTAAGATCCTAGGCAAATTATCAAGAAAAAGACAACCCAGTAGAAAAATAGATAAGGATACAACTAAACAATTTTCAAAAAAGCAAATCAAATAGCCAACAAGCTTTGGAGAAGATGCTGAAATGCATTAATATTAAGGGAGATACAGACTAAGATAATAAGCTATCAACTTACACTCATCAAATTGGAAATTTTTTAAAAGGTAAATATACCTTTTCATGATAAGAATTGAGGGAACACGTACTCTTAAATTTTGCTTATAAAATTGTCAATTGTTAGAAGTTTTTTAGAAAGCAATCTGGAAAAAATCTGTTGGAATTTATTAAATGTATGTACCTATCAAACCAACAATCCATCCCTGAAATATAGCTCAAAGAAATATATGTACCAATACATAAGGCTACAGGAATAAAAAATTTTGAGATGATTTATAATTCAAAAACAAAAACAAAAAATTGGCAATTTTGTGAATGTCTATCCACACCAGGGACTATTATCTACTTCTAAAGAGACTAAATTGGAGCTATTCTAGTTTTATTTGTAGGTAATTCCACAAAGCTGAATGAGTAAGAAATGAATAATAAAATCCTGGGTGGGTCAGAGGTGGGGGTAGGAGATGACTATTAGTATGGAGAAAAGTATGCAAGGATACATACCAGGTTGTGAACAAAAGAGATTTTTTTTAAAAGTACATGTGGAAGACAAGAAAAAAAAATTACACTCAATGAAATCCATTTATAGTATGATATACAGTATGGTTTTATACATGGTATAAATATATAGTACAATCCCATTATATGAATATATGTACAGATAAAAATTAGAATAAATAACCAGTTAGTTATATTTCTATTTTAGTAACCCATAGAGATACTCCTGATCTCTTTTTACCTGCTAAGGAAAAGCAAACATAAAAGCAGCAGGTAAATGTATTATGATGCTACTTTAGTAAAAACAATTAAATCCCCACATACATGCATCTAACCTTGCATAGGTTTGCATGAGCAAGGTAAAAGCTGTGGAAAGACTCATACAGGCTACCTCAGGATACTGAGATTGAGGGTTGAGGTAGAGAAAAGGGGGATAATTAACTTCATGTATATTTGTAGCATTTTACACATTAAAAGAAAAAGACTTCAAAAGACATCAAATGAAGAAATAATCATGTATCAGTAACATTATCTTTAACAATCTAGAAATGTAGTTCTTTGTAGAAAAAACTATGAAGTAAAAAGATTTTCAAATCTTTACCACTCTATTTCCATCTTCTTGGGCGACATGGACACGAAATTTTTCAATATCTTTAAAAAAAAAAAAAAAGATAATTTAACCTTAACGAAATATGAGTACTATTTTTACGTAACACTTGTAAAAACATTGTTATAAAAGCAATGCAGGGCTGGGCACAGTGGATCATGCCTGTAATCCCAGCACTTTTGGAGGCTGAGGTGGGCGAATCATGAGGTCAGGAGATCGAGACCACCTTGGTCATGATGAAACCCCATCTCTATTAAAATACAAAAAATTAGCTGGGCATGGTGGCATGTGCCTGTAGGAACAGCTCAGGAAGCTGAGGCAGGGGAATCGCTTGAACCCGAGAGACAGAGATTGCAGTGAGCCGAGATTGTGCCACTGCACGCCAGCCTGGCGACAGAGCAAGACTCCATCTCAAAAAAAAAAAAAAAAAGCAATGCACATTGAACAACTGGCCACAAAACAATATTATTACAAACTGTAATCTCACAATAGAGGTTCAAAAACTTCCACTTTTCTCTATTCTCCCTTTACAGTTAATTTCAAGTCCTGCATTTATTCTGCTCCTCAATATCAACAATACATGAAGCATTTAGCTCTCCTGCTTCCCTGGGCTCCCTCAACAAGTACTTGACTCCCCTATACCATCAGTCTTGTATAGAGCTAACAAGGGCTTACATGGCAGAGTTTATCTTCAATTTCCAAATCCCAAACACTTGTTTGTATGAACATACCAGACAGAAAACTCATCATACGAGACCTTCTGGGGAAGCATTTTAATAGGGGTCAATTTCATATGAACAAAACCCTGAACACTAAAGTCAATCTGTGTAGATGGTCCCTTTCTAACAGTAACAATTTAAATTCAGCCATATTTACCTTCTGCTGATTCGAGTTACCAAACTGAACAAGAGCTTAGAGACCGAACACGGCCTTACTCCTCAAGCCTGTCCTTCCAACTATAAACACTATAAACTAGAAGTTTCATCTTGTAATGTGAAAGACCACCAGTAAATTTTGTCCTTCCTTCCCCTCTCCTAACTTGAAATCATCATGGAAGGACATAACCTTTTACATCCTAAACTTACTTGCCTCTACCTGAATTTGTCTAAGTTAGTGTGCATCCTCAAGTTCTGCCATGGGATTCTTCTAGTTACTTCCCCTCTCTCCATCCAAACATCTCTTTTATACTATAGTTATCCACTGTGACAGACATCCAAAAGACAAAATGAACTAAAGACGACAAAAATGACCTGTGCAAATGTTCTACAAACATTCTACCATAGGACAAAACTGCAAATCCAGGTATGCAAGAGCCCATCATTCCCAGGATGAAAAAGCTGAGCAGAACCAAAGGGAACAACACTTGGGGGCCAAAGGAAAAGCCCTTCCCAAGGAATTCCAGGTCACATATGGACATGAAAGTGGACCCTTGACAATGGCAAATGGATATCTAGAAGATTCAATCATGTCCCATGCTGGGAGGCCATATGCCATTCATGAAATCCCCACATTCCACCTAAAGATACACTTACATTTCTCTTCTGAAATCAGTAACAGATGGTTCTCTGGAAGAGGATGACTTTCAACATGTGGGTACAGAAACTGTAAAAAAGAAATTAATCATAATTATAAACAAGTATCTTGCTCGAACAAGTATTTCCAAAATTGTGTTTGATGACTGTACTATTACATATCATTGAAGAAACTGGGAATCACAGAAGAGTTTAGGGGAATCACCTATACACACACACGTATCGCAGATCAAAGCAAGCAAGAAAAGGAAACACTTTCAGGACCTCAGTTTTCCAGGGGGAAACTGATTTCAAGTACAACACTATCTTCATTTATTTAAATAGTAAGGTTACTGGCAAGGCACAGTGGCTCACACCTGTAACCCCAACACTTTGAAGAAGTCAAGACAGGTGGATCACTTCACCTCAGGAGTTCAAGACCAGCCTGGGCAACATGGCAAGTTCCCGTCTCTACAAAAAAATACAAAAGCTTAGCCAAGTGTGGTGGCATGTGTCTGTAGTCCCAGATACTCAGGAGGTTGAGGTGGGCGTATCACTTGAGCCTAGGAGGTGGAAGTTGCAGTGAGCCAAGATCATGCCACTACGCTGTAGCCTGAGTGATAAGAGTGAGACTCTGTCTAAAAATAAATAAAGTAAAATAAACAGTGATGCTGAAGCTGAAGTTATTTCTAGGGATGGTACTTCCTATTTGGAATATATGATTCTGAAACCAATCAAAAACAACGCAAACAACATTTATACAGAATGTTCTATTTCACACACACACACACACACACACACACACACACACACACCAGTCAATATAGTTGTTGTGCAACTCAACCTAGTATATAACTTGAGAGCCAAGTAAACATATTCCCCACAAGAACTTCCAAAGTCCCACATCCAAGAAACAAAGTATAATATAACCAGAACATGTCAAGAAAGAACAGTGAGTCATGGTGTCACATGGGTTGATGATTTACAAGCCTAAAAGCATAGAACGACTGTCACTGGGAAGAAAAGGCTTAAACCCACCCCATTTCTCTTTCTCTTTGCTCTCCCATATGAACCCACCACTATGTTTCTATCTACAGGACAAAGCAGGCTGCCAGTAACCAAGTCCTGGACCCTGTCAGCTGTAACAATGAGGAAAAATTGGTCACAGGATGACTGAAAAGGGCAACTGTAAATAAGCTGTTTCATTTTGTGGCATGAAAGACCAGAGAATTTTGTTCTTTTCCTTACCCAAAGCTTGAAAGTAATATGAAAGGGCATAACTTTTGTGTCCCAATCTCCCAATCATTAGTCTCACTAAAATTTAGGATGATTTTTTATTACTTCCTAGTGTCCTAACTTTTTATAATATCAGATTAAAAATAGGACTAGTCAACTTTTGGAACATTTATAGTTGAGTTCCCTTTTAGAAATGAAAAGCAAAACACATGCATCACAGCAATAAAGTCAAAATTATAAAATAGCAATGAAGAATTCAGCTACAAAAATAATACGATAATTATCTCATGATTTGTAAAATCTCACACATTAAACAAGATACTTTGTATAATAGAGTTGAGGAAAAGCAGAGATGAATGACACTACATATACGACGGAAGAACAAATGTTCAGTGCCTCAAATATGGAGATGCTCCTACTCCAGGTCTACAGAGGTGTCCAGGGCATGCCTGCTTAGGAACGTGACATGGATTGAGGTGCTGAAGAGGTGTAACTGCCAACCTCTAAACCTCTACCTGGTCTTCCTGTGACAATCAGGGAGAATGTTATTTTAAAAGTCCCATTTAGGTAGGTGTTTTTTTTTTTTTCTTTCTATTGTAAGGCCGTCCTAGAGTAAGGCCTGGAAACCAAAAACAGACAGGCTTCAGACACAGCTCTACAAAAGCATTCAAGGTGGCTTTTTGTATTTTAACTAGGACTCTATGGAGATTATATTTCCTTAGGAAAATTTATCTTCACAAATATGGAGCTAGACTTCGAATGAATATTGGTCTTTGGAAATGTGTGGTCTAGGTGTGTAGAGGGTGTGTAATTACCACTGGAACTATCTGGAAGATACACCTCATGCTGGAAGGGAACACCCAAAGGGTCCTGGATTGGGATCCAAGCCCCACCTGCCACCGTCCTGCTGAAGCTCCTCTGTGTAGGTGGTCACGACTACACATGCAGAGTTAGAGAAATGTGCTACTGGAGATCACCATGGATGTTTTTGTAAGGAAAAGGAAATAGATTCCAGGGCAAGACCAACTCAATGAACAGTAAATGTTATTTCTCTAGAAGGCGAAGATGGGTATTTGCCACTGGGGTTTGGAGGAATTTCTCTCTCCAGAGGCATAGACATGGGAGCAGGAGGCAGGGTTAAGAACTGAGATGGGTCCAAAGAATGGGTACAGGTTTTACTCTTTATTTGAGTGGGGATTTTTTCTTTGGCCTATAGATGTTGTCCTGTTCCACATACTTTTAACTCTTTTTTTGACTTGGAGTTTCGTTCTGTTGCCCAGGCTGACATGCAATGGCATGATCTTGACTTACTGCAACTCCACCTACCGGGTTTCAAGTAATTCTCCTGCCTCAGCCTCTAGAGAAGCTGGGATTACAGGAGCATATTACCACGCATGGCTAATTTTTATACTTTAAGTAGAGATGGGGTTTCTCCATGTTGGCCAGGTTGGTCTCAAACTCCTGAGCTCAGGCAATCCACCCGCCTTGGCCTCCCAAAGTGCTAAGATTACAGGCATGAGCCACTGCACCCAGCTACTTTTAACTTTTTAAAATTGAATTCACACAATATAAAATTTAACATTTTAACCATTTATATATATATATATATATATGTAGTTTTTAATATATTCACAGTGTATACAACCACTTGCTTTTAAAACTTTTCCCCTTTCTATGCTCCAATTGCCTTTAGTTACCCCAATCCTTCAGTCATGTCTCCAGCATCTATATAGTCCTAACTAGAGATGCTGAGGAAGTCAAAGAGCAGACCAGAAAAGGGAAGTGTGCTCTGTCCCCTAGCTGCCCCCACACTGATGACAGTGTAGACAGAGTAGCTTCCTGAGGTAGCAGAACGTAGTTTGGGAGCTTCAGGCCAGGCCCCTGTCTGGAACTGAGAAGTGACCCACAGTACAATTAGGAATAGTGGGGAAATGTGCAGCTGAAAGGACTGGCTGACAGTGGCAGACCCTGAGCAGAGAGAGACAACCTTCTCTCCTAACCCACCGGAATAGGGAGGCCCATGGGCTGGAGGCTGGTAGTAGCTTGGGAGACAAAGAGGTAGATACTTTGGGTGGTACAAATTGACTCCAGCTAGACCAAAAGAAATATTTTGACTCTGTAACAAAATGTAAAATTAGACAAAAGGAAATTATGCTGCAGCACTGCATGAACATATACTTTAGATTCAAATTATTTTCAGTAGTTAAGTTTTGTAAAGTCACCACAAATGTTGTATACCGAATACTGAACCATCGTTCCTAGGGAAAATAAAGGGAGTTGATCATAGTCCTGAAAGACACAATCCCCAATGCCATAATCCTAAATACTGAAATCCCGAAAGATCAAAATCCCAAAAATATAATTCTAGAAGAAAATAATTTTAAAAACTATTTAAAAGCTGTACTGACATTTTTAGAAGAATTATCTGAGAAGCAAAACACAAAAGCACACTTCATAGTCCACTTTATACAATAGGCAAATAATAACATATACAGTTTTGAAAGTATAGACACTCGCGTATATTAACTATCCTGTGATCGTGACTTTTGGGACTTTAGACATCAGGGATTTTTATTTCAGGATTTCGACATTCATGATTATGGTGTTCGGGACTGTCTTTTCAGATTATGATCCAAACTCATACAAGGATAAATTCTTGTAAGCCTCTACTCACAATATGTTTGTCAACAGATCAGTATATAACCTTGTTTTGTGTGTTTCTATTTAAAGACACTCCTTAAACTTGTGGCATAGTAACTCATGCCTAAATGAAACTTATCTGACATGTTTTCTCCGTAAGGCATCTGACAGCCTTCATGCACTTAGGAACACTGGACAGTGCCTCAGAGCTATGCCTGGAGGCCATTTAAACAGTGAAATTGCCAGGAAAAAGCACAAAAATTTGAAAGATGGAACTAGGTCATGAAAACAACAGTCGTTTTAGTGTGAGAGCTAAAACAAAAAAAGCAGGGCATTACTGTGTTCAACCTCAATTGCAAATGTGCATGTTGGGTGACAAATTCCTTCACCACTCAGCATACATCTGCAAATAACTAACCAAGTACTATGAGTGTATGATTTAAGGATTACAAACAAATTTTAGGAGTAGGAGAATTTGCAAATATGAAATCTGCAAATAGTGAGTACTGACTATTCCACATTATACATGCAGTTTTTGCATCAACTCATGAAGTTGATAAATTCAGGGATTAAATCATTTAATCATAGGTATTTAATCTGTCAACCACATAAATACATTACATAGACCATTTAAACCTTACTTTAAATGTGTGGGGGTTTTTTGTTTTGTTTTGTTTTGAAATGGGGTGTTGGGGAAATGTGCAGCTGAAAGGACCGGCTGACAATGGAGGACCTCTCTCTTGCTCTGTCTCTCTGTCGCTAAACTGGAGTACAGTGGCATGATCTAGGCTCACTGCAACCTCTGCCTCCTGGTTCAAGCAATTCTCCTGCCTCAGCCCGCCCCCACGTCCCCCGAGTACCTGGGATTACAGGCACACGTGACCACACCCAGCTAATTTTTGTATTTTTAATAGAGACGGGGTTTTACCATGTTGGCCAGGATGGTTTTAATCTCCTGACTTCGTGATCTGCCCACCTCAGCCTCCCGAAGCGCTGGAAATACAGGCGTGACCTACCTACCCTGGCCTTAAATGTGCTTCAATATTTGAAATTTTATCATGAGAAATTACATTACTATGAAACAAATGATAGTGTAACAGAGTCAGAGGAGCTAGCTTTGAGTTAATTTCCATGCTTGCTAAGAAAGAAGGGAAGATACTTCCAGCTGTAGTAGTCTACAAGATTGCTCTGAGGATTAAATATGATAATGATAGTGTGAAAGCACTTTGTAAACACCAATTCTTCTAGGTTGCATGTCTTTTGATTAATGAGTAAGTGACGATTGTATGCTTACTTACCTGAACCCAAATATAGCTATCCACAGCTTTCAGAACCTTCACGTTGTTAACAGGGTGGATTTCAACCAACAAAGTTAAGCACTTTGATCCTACAGAGAAAAGGTGGCTTTTAGTAACAAAGCTTAGAATATCACATGTTATTTTTTCCAAAGCAAGCAGGAAAAATTTCTGGTAAATCCTACTGTAGCGACTATAAACTAATAAAACAATTCTACCATCATAAAGTCCCATGAGAAGACTTAAACTGTACATTTGTTTCCAGTTCCACTCTCTAGGATGTATGGTGGCTCCAGGACCCCAAAAGAACAATCAGCCCAGCAAAGGACCTGCCTTCCACACCCTCAGGAGGCCTGAAGAAGCTGCATTTTATTATGAAAACCACAGGACACTTAAGAAATGCAAATGTGAAAAGGGAAGTCTTTGAAAAGCCCCGGAAACAACAGTAGATACAAGGGAGACAAATTTCAAATTATAATAATTCTGTATTTGTAAAAAAGCATTACATTAAAAACACAAGTGGCTTCTGAAATCAAAGATTCCTGTATATCACTTTGCATTCTCACCAGCAACATATGAGAGGGTCTGACAAACTGGGTTCTACTGGATATCATTTTTCCCAATTATCACAGTTCTATCATTTGCAAAAGCAGACATGTCTAAACTTTCTGAAAATATAAATATATTACTGTATTAGTTATTCTACAGGGGGGTAAAAGGTAATTTTCTTAAAGTTTAACACTTTAAAGTTTGACTTTGACCCTTCTACAAATCCAAGAGGGATTCAGAAAAAGACATCCCAAGGGAGAAATCAATGTGCTGGGAGTGAGGAAGTTGTTTGCACTCACTCCATGCCATTTTTTTTTTTAATAATTTCACTTAATGTTTACCCAATCTCCACCTTTTTCATAAGTTAATACCTATGAAATGTATGTAATCTGTTTCCTCTAGCTTACTGATAACCTAATATTCAATGAACTTCCTGACATTTGTATTCAAATTTGGGTCATACCAGAAAGCTCTACACTTGCAGGTGTTCAAATATTGTAAAACTTTGGTGCATTGTTATTTAGTAGCTGTGATTAGTAATTTTCAAACCTCAAATATAGTGTCTTAGCAAGTTGGATTTTCACTGTATATCATGGTATCTTAATGATGTGTATAATTGCCCTCAATCCCCTTCTCACCCCACCCTCTGCACCTCCCCAACCAGCAACAGGGGCTTATTTCAGTTGAGTAAAGCATGGTGCTAATGGACCAGGGTCACAGTTTCAAAACTTGAACAATCCAGTTAGCATCATAGAGAAAGAAATTCTTCCACATTTGCTCATTGCACCAGTAACTCCAGTTAGTAATTTTGCTGGGTGCCTGCCGTTAGCCCTGACAAGAGGCGCAGCAGCCAGCAGCTCAGGGAGAGCACGGCTTTCAGTAAACTGAGCTGGGCCAATGGCACATCCACAGAGAAAACATGATCCCTGACTTGAACCTCAGCCCTGATGCAGATAAATCTAGGCCGGCCACGTAGACAAAGGCTTTGCAGGGCAGAGCTGCGCGGCCCAGTGGTTGAAGTAAAAGCCGGCGCCATGTCCAGAGTGCCTAGGCCGAGCTGAAGGAGGGAGAGAAGAACCCACCACACTGGTCCACTGGAAGCACTGCCACACTCCAAGACATTTTTAGCCTAACTTCACAAGCCTTCTAGACTTTTAAGTCTAAACAAACACAATTCGATTCTATGTCACTCCAGTTCTGCAGCACTATGGCACAGATTGTTTGTGTAGGAAAATAAAAATATATTTCTGATACATGAACATGTTAAGGCTGACGGTACTTATCAGTAGGACACAGACTGAGATTCCCTCAGGGAAAGTGGTAGAGCACTGATAATGACCCACTTATTTCGTTAGTGTCACATCTGAGCAAATATCATAGAAGACAGCAATTAGGATGAAGTCCATGGATATGGGCTAGAATGGAGTTACCACAGATATCTAAATTTAGGTAGAAGATCCCCTCCCCCAAGATTAAACCTTAGAAAAGAAGGACTGGCCTTATATTTGAGCTCTTTTAGAGACTCGATCCAGTGCCTCTCAGTGACTTTACTGTGAAAAATAATGTATAACTTGGGGATGGCACAGATGCATGGAATTTAATATGTACTACAGAACAAATGAAAATCCAAATTTTGGAAAATGGGTACTTGTGGCTTAGGATGAAAACACTACTGACAGGATCTTACAACCAGGGTAAGGATGAGGTACTTTGGGAATCTGTTTGATGACTCAAAAAATGGCTTCAGGAATAAAAAAGACATTGGTGTCAAAGATATTTATGAAGAAAAATAGAATAGAAATGCTCTGTGAGGTAGAAAAATCAATTTTTCTTATTGTTATTTTAAATAGGTGTGACTATATTAGTATATTAAATAGTACAAGCTGACTTTTTTGTCCTGAAAGCTTATATATGTAAGCTTTTATATATATACACATACATATATATCTGGCCAAAAAAGTCCTTTTGGGGGAGAGAGGGGAAATTTTCTCATCAGAAAAATAATCACAGCCAGGCACAGTAGCTCACATCTGTAATCCCAGCACTTTGGGAGGCTGTGGCAGGTGGATCATAAAGTCAGGAAATCATGACCATCCTAAACAAACACAGTGAAACCCTATCTCTACTAAAAATATAAAAAAAATAGCTGGGTGTGGTGGCATGCACCTGTAGTCCCAGCTACTCAGGAGGCTGAGGCAGCAGAATCACTTGAACCTGGGAGGTGGAGGTTGTAGTGAGCTGAGATCGCACCACTGCACTCCAGCCTGGGCAACAGAGTGAGACTCCGTTTCAAAAAATAAAGAAAGAAAGAAAAATAATCACCATATATTTGGCGGTTTTTTTTAGCAGGAATTTGTACCCAAATGAGATAGCCAGCTGTCAGCTAGATTTTCTCACCTTTAAAATGGGAAGATCTTTAAAGGCAGAAAACATCTTTCTACACTAATTTTTCCCTTCTGGAGTGCAACCCAGACATTTGACTAATATTACTAGCATAATGACAACAGTAAATCTTTGCAAATTGTAATTTCTCTCAGTAATATATCATGTGCTTTCACAGTGAAAAAGGAAGCATTCTGAATTAAGATTCTAGAGACAACAGTTCCAGTTTCAGTTCTGTCATTATCAAGGTATTTATTTCTCAGAAAATCACCCAGCTTTCCTAGGCCTCAATGCTTCATTACTAAACATAATAAAACATGCAGGGCAAGGTGCTCATGCCTGTAATCCCAACGCTTTTGGAGGCCAAGACAGGAGGATCACGTGAGTCCAGGAGTTTGAGACCAACCTGGGCAGCAGTGAAACCCTGTCTCTATAAAATAAAATGAAAAAAATATTAAGAACTAGCTGGGCATGGTGGTGTGTGCCTACAGTCCAGGTACTCAGGAGGTTGAGGTGAGAAGATCCCTTGGGCTAGGGGGGTCAAGGCTGCTGTGAGCCATGATAATGTCAGTGCACTCGAGCCTAGGCAACAGAGCAAGACCCTGTTTCAAAAATAATAATCATAATAAAATGAAAGACTAAAGAACCAGATTATTTCTACAATCACTTTCAGCCATAAAATCCCAGTGTTCCACAAAGTGCTAAACTAAGAATTTTGATGGCTGGGTGCAGTGGCTCATGCCTATAATCCTAACACCTTGGGAGGCTGAGGCAGATGGAACAACTGAGATCAGGAGTTCAAGACCAGCTGGCCAACATGGGGAAAACTCATCTCTACTAAAAATATAAAAAATTAGCCAGGCATGGTGGCGGTACCTATAGTCCCAGTTACTCGGGAGGCTGAGGAAGGGGAATCACTTGAACCTGGGAGGCAGAGATTACAGTGAGCCGAGATCACACCACTGCACTCTCCAGCCTGGGCAACAGAGCAAGACTCCGTCTCGGGGGTGGGGGGGTGGGGGGGGTGGGAAGAATTTTGAGAATCAAGTTATCAGTGGAGACCAGACACAGTGGATCATGCCTATAATCCTAACATTTTGGGAGGCTGAAGTGGGTGGATTGCCTGAGCTCCAGAATTCGAGACGAGCCTGGGAAACATGACTAAACCCCCTTACTACTAAAAATACAAAAAATTAGCCAAGCGTGGCATTGCACACCTGTAATCCCAGCTACTCAGGAGACTGAGGCAGAAGAATCGCTTGAACCCAGGAGGCAGGGGTTGCAGTGAGCCAAGATCATGCCACTGCACTCCAGCCTGGGTGACAGAGCAAGACACTGTCTCAAAAAGATTATCAGTGTTAACAGTGGAGACTGGGAGACCATCACTAAAGGGTAAGACAGGATCTGGATACCACAAGAAGGAGAGAGGAGAGACAGCAGGATCAAGCAGAGGGATAGACATGACATAAGGAGAATGGAGGTGGGCAAAAGAATGTGGTGTGATGCAGGCACATGCTGTGAAATGGTGACAAGGATGGGGGAGTTCGATATGGCCTGATTCTGAAGGCACTCTGGTTATTTGAGTTCTTGAACCGAATCACAGCTTTGCAGAGCATCTGTGACACTTGAATGTCTATGATGGTAAGAGGAGGGCTCTGGAGAATCTCAGTGGCAATGGGGCCCCCAACTCATGTGGTCACCCCAAATGCTGCCACGTGGGAATCTACAGTGACTTGTAGCAAATGCAACTCCACAGGGGAGGATGAAGGGGGCAGCCAGAGCCTGGTTTCCTATGGAAGGCCATTTTCTCAGTAAAACATTAACTCTGCCATCTCTACGGCCAAGAATAGGAGCACTATTGATTAAAAAAAAAAAAAAAAAAGCATTGTAAAGTATGTGGATCAAAGAACCCTGTTTTGTTTACATAAAAGATGGTACAATTTGTCTCATCTACAGCGGAAAAATCTCATTTTAAGCAACAGTGTTAAGCACCACCGGAGATAAAACATTACATCTTATAATCAAATGGCTTGTAGGGCCATTTCATGGACCGACAAAATAAACCTTTCCAAAATATTCGTTCAAATAAAACATTCCAATAAATCCTACAGCGCTTTCTGGTTACATCATCTGAAATCTTTGCCAAACAAAATGAAATCCTCCCATGATGAGCAATAACTTTCATAAATTGAGGACTCCTGAATGTGTCTCTCCAACCCCGACCATTACCTGGACTTCTGACTCATCTCCAAACTCCTACCTCACATCTCCACTGGGATGTCTATTAGGATGTCAAACTGATCAAGTTCAAAATCAAACTCTTCTTTCCTGCCCCTCCCATATACATACACCCCCCACACACGCCCTTCTACCTGTTCTGGCCAAAAAACCTTAGAGTGAGTCACCCTTGACTTATCTCTTTTTCTCATAGTCCCATCAAATCCAGCAGCCAATCTTCTTTTTTTTTTTTTTTTTTCAGATGGAGTCTAGTCTCACTCTGTTGCCCAGGCTGGAGTGCAGTGGTGCAATCTCAGCTCACTGCAACCTTTATTTCCATTTCCCTGGGTCAAGCAATTTTCTTGCCTCAGCCTCCCAAGTGGCTAGAATTACAGGCATGTGCAGTCACATCCAGCTAGTATTTTTAGTAGAGACAGGGTTTCACCATGTTGGCCAGGCTGGTCTCGAACTCCTAACCTCACCTGCCTCAGCCTCCCAAAGTGCTGGGATTACAGGCATGAGCCACTACACCCGGCCAAGCAGCCAATCTTAACAAGTCAATCTTTTGAATACATCCAAACACAGCTACCTAGCCCTTGCTCCACTTCACCAGTCCAAGCCACTAGACTATAATAGCTCTCCAACCAGCTCTCCCCTTGCCCTCCTGTAGTCCATCTTCCACAGAGCAGCTACAGCAATCCTTTTATGGAACAAGTCAGATCACACCCCTGCTCAAAATCCGTATCACTTCCCATTTTACTAGGAGTGAGGGCCACACCTTTACAATGGCCTCCTTGGGCCTGTGTGATCTGCCTGCATCTCACTTCTTTTCCTTTGCCCTCAGTTCCTACCACTCTGCTCCTTGTTCACTCCACTTGTCTCAATGACCTCCTTACTCTCTTTGAACAGCAAGTCTACCAAGTACAGTCCTATGCTGACTGATCTGTCAGAAATGTGCTCTCCCCACAGCCTCATGCTTGTTCCCTCCCCACCTTCAGGTCTCTGTTTAAACATTCCCCTAATGGCCTTTCCTAATATCATTCCCCAGATAAATTAACTGCACTCAAACCCTGTTTCAGGCACTAGTTATGGGGAAATTCACACTAAGACAAGAACTTATCTCAGGAAACAACATTACTCTAGGATCACTCTAGCCAGGGTTGGTGAAAGGAACTGAGAAGAGTGAAACAGGAAAGAAAAATACACCAGTAAATGAGGCATTATCAAATTAGTGACCACCCTGGATTTTAAGCTGCTTAGAGTACACCTCACAATTACCCACTTTAAAGATGGAAAGGAAGACCATTTATCTTTCAGTTCTTTGCCACCACTGGTCACGGGTTATTCTCCTGGGCATCATGCCCAATCATACTTCCAAACTGTACATGTGCAGGGAGTAAACAGATTTTCCCAATGGCCCTGGGCAGAAAGCAAGAAGCAGGTAGGGCAGCTGAGATGAGGCACTGTCAAATTACAGCTGGGCAGAGGTGGTTCTCGTCACAGTGACTGGCTTCAAAGGTAAGCTGTGAGGTATCCAATACAGTAACTAATAATGTTCATCCCAATGTTTTTAAAGATGCAAGTAGATAATCTCACTACAAGTGCATCAAACTAAAAAGACTGAGCAAGCATCCCTGAATAGACTTTAATGTTGTAATCAAATAAAGTTTAAAGTTGGCCTGAAAGTAAATTTTAGAATCTACGTATGACTACTTCTGTGTGACAGTCAAGCATAGATGGTGATTAAATATATGTAAAAAAATATAGTTACTACTCAGTTTCCCAACATAATAAAGAATTTTTAAGACTAAAAAAATAAGGTACAAGAAGAACTGGGAGGCACAGGTGCCAACCCAAGGTTCTATACAGATGCCCACCCTCACCATCTCCTGGAACACAGCAGCTAAGCCGTTCCTCTTAGAGAAAGGGGTCTATTAGCTCAAAGGTTGGGGCCATGTCCTGGGGTTTTGCCCATACCCTTGTTTTAAGGGTCAGGACACCTATGTCCCAGATCATATTTCACTCAAGCTATTGCAGTTCCATCTCCTCTGAAGCAAGCCTTGCATCTAATTCTAAAAAGAGCAGAGAGTGATGATGGTACTGGGAAAAGGAGGACATGGCACAGAAGAACGAAGGGGTTGTTGTTCTCAGTATATCATGGCAGTGGGAAGGTAGGAATGAGCATTACAAATGATGAGATTTCAGGTGAGCCTCCTGCCCACCAAATTACCAATAAACAATTTTACTGAGGCTCCCAAGAATGTCCCATCTGAACTTGGCTCTGGAGAAATGTGTATCATGAGAAGTCTGGAAGTGCCTCACAAGCCTCATGTGGAAAGTAAGTACAAAAGGTTTTTCCATCACATGCAACTGCAGGAAAATACATGAGTGGTAACTATGCTAACAAAAGAAGGAATTTAAGTGTCAGATAAATAGAATGGATGGAAAGCACCCAGAAGCAGAACAGTAAGAGACTGATAGGAGACTCACTAGGCCAGAAGTTGATAAATGTTAGTCACAGGCTGGCTCTAGCCCACAGGTGGTTATTATTGTCCCAAGTAGGATTTTAATATAGTGAAGCCAACATTTACAAATTCGATCTTTACAAAAAACTCTAGACTTCCCTTGATAAACTTGTAAGGCCGGTTGCCTCACAGAGGGTTAAACGGACACATCCATCTCTCTCCGTGCCTGATAACTACGTCATCACCCAAGCTTGTTATCTGGCCTTGCCGCATGGCTTCCCCGCACCCGCCTCCACATACCAGGCCCAAGCCCACATTCAGCACTAAATTATGCATTCAACCCCCAGCCCACTGTTGATAAACCCTGCAGAAAATTTTTAAAGAAGCCCCATCAGACCCTGCCCGGTAGCAGTCCGCCCTGCACGCCCCCGGCAGGCCCACTTACCCAAGGTCCCGCCCGCCTACCCATAACTAGCTCCAGGTATTTCCTGCTTCTTAACAGCCAATAAGATTGCCTTCACTTTGTTTCCCCAATAGCCAATCAAGGCCCATTTACCCAAGGTCCCGCCCGCCTACCAATGGCAGCTAGTTCCGGGTATTTCCTGCTTCTTAACAGGCAATAAGATTACCTTCGCTTTGTTTCCCCAATAGCCAATCAATTGCCTTCCCTCCCCATAAAACCCCACTCCCTGAACAGTCGGGCGCAACTTCTTTGGCCCCTTCCAGGACCACAGAACCTCGCCCGGGAGCTGAATAAATTAGCTTCTCATTTTCTTATACTTGCCTCAGTTTCCTCATTTTACCTCGGCAATAAATCTTACAAAACTGAAATGCCAGTTCCACTGAACTTGCTAGTGACAACAAAAAGCTAGGGCTCAGTAGTAACTTCTTCTCTTGAAAGTCTCCCATGAGGCACCCCCACCCCCCACCCCACTACTAGTCCCTATAGCTTTTGAATTTTTTTCTTTTCACTAAAGAAAAAAAGATATTTATTGGTTTCTATGTTAAAAATGGAAAAAAACAAAGACATTCTGTCGGTCACTAGATTTTTTTCTTACACTAAATCTGCTTCATTTATTTATATGGTCTCTCTGGCCAGTGTATGCATTTGCAATTGAAACCCAGGACTAGACTGAAAGCTCCAAGAGGATAGATGCTATACCTCTCTTACACACCATTGTATCCCCAGCACCATGCATAGTGCCTGATCCACAGCAGGCACTCAATACCACTGAGTTACAGACAGAGGGATGACTTACAACACTTTAAAAAGTGGTGAGGCAAGGGAGCATCCCATAGCTGTAAAACTATAAAGTCAAGGCCTTGGTAAATGAACAGAATTGATCTTTAGTATTAGTGTACCACTTACAATGTGTATTAATTAATCAATACTTAACCAGATGTAAGAAAAGATACATTCTTGACTTTCCCAATCTTTTACACCAACATCTGACTATAGGTTTCTACTTCAGCATTCATTTAGCCTACAGGTATTAATCACCATCTTAACACTTCTGCTGGTCGCTGTTAAATCATTGTCTGTACTTTTCTGTTTGCTTGAAAAAAATACTTTTTAAAAGTCTTGTTCATACTTGACATGATCTTTGCCTTTTATTCTGAGATACAATAAGGCTATTTCTAAAGATCCTTGAAATTTTATTTAGCGGTACATAAAAATCATCTACCAATAACCTTCATCTACCCATAGATATCAAAAAGTGTAATTTCATTACCTGGTTGAAGTTCATTCCTTTTTCCTTCTTTAGTAGACTGAATTAAACTTGCAGCTAATGGAAAAAGAAAAAAAAAATCCATTAGCAATTGATCCATGTGGTGGCTTGTTAAAGTTTACCATATACCTGAAATAGATGGTGGCCCAAAGGATATGTCAATGGAAGATTAGGGCAGAACACAAAGCATTCTTTTTTGTAGGTATGCTCTCCATATTCTTTATTTCAAATTTAACTTCCCAAGAACACTTTTTCTTAGAAAATCATTGTTATAGAGTAATTTAATACTGCAAAAACCTAATACTTTGAAACTCTTAAAAGATGTAGTTCAGTTCTTGACATGCAGCAATAATAGTTCAACTTACCAAGCAAAGTTCTTTCACTGTTGACAGAGCAACTGAAAACTTCCAAGTCTTTCTCAAAGGCATACAGAAGCTATTAATACAAAAGTATTTTTTAATTTAGAGTTTCACATATTAAATAAAAATTGTATTAATGTAAATTCCCATTAAGCTCTGTGCTAAGTACTACTGGAGCAAAATATTTTAGTAAAGAATCAAACTAGTTTAGCAATGCTGACAGACCACTCTTTACCAAAACCAGACCACTCTTACCAAAAAAAAAAAAACTTTGCTATCATAAGCCATGTTTGGCACTGATATTTAGCCATGAGACAATCAAGTATAGTGGTTAAGAGCATAGATGTTGGAGCCCTACTGGACCCAGGTTCAAATCCTGACTCTGACACTTACTAGCTGTGTGACCTTGGATAAATTATTCAGCTTCTCTTTCCCCCATCAGTAAAATAGCAATCATAACATCTACTCATGGGATTGTTAGGAAGATCAAGCAAGATAATCTATATGAAGCATTTAGTGCAATAAGCACTCAAATGTTAGCTATTGTAATTACTGAGGTAATTTTAATTACAAAATAATCACTAGTTATCTTAGCCACTGTCACAAGTACATCTCCCATAGGGCTTTCATATTTAGAGGACTGGGAAGGTAGTCTTCTAGCTTTAATTTTTTTTCTTGTTGCTGTTTAAAATGTTCAAAATGTTGCAAGATTCCATTTCCTTGAACATTAAAGAAAATGAAAATGCCCATGCAGTAGGATGTGATGTGGAGATTGAGGAACTAGAGGACACTAGTTCTATTACGCAGTCTCTCTTAAAGAACACCCAGGGGATAAGCGAAACAGGCTGTCTTAGACCTCAGAAGAGAACAGACTAAGTCAAACAGTAAATGGCTTAAGTATTAAGAAGGTTACTGGTATCTGCACACTAAAAAACTATCAAGAACACACCAGGTCCCTATAGCTAGAAGTCAATGGGAAAAGCTGGGGAAGTTAGGGAACAACTGATTACAGAAAGTGAATTTTCAGTTAATAAGGTACCGAAGGGAGAGATCCAAGATGGCTGATCACTAGCAGCTCGGGATTGTAGCTCCCACTGAAAGTGCAGAGAATGAGAGGACGCCACACTTTCTGATCAATCACGCACCAGGAGATTCCCAGCGGAGAAGCCCCATGGGTCGCCAGCGCAACTCTTGAGGCTGGTGAGGCGGTTTTGTCGCTGCCTTGGTGCGGCGGTTCTTGGTGCAGAGTCAGAAAAGCACCATCAATCATAACGCCGCTGTTTTGGCCGGCGCAGTGGGTTGCTCTGATTTTAGCGCCGGGAATCAACAAGTTGGACGTCCATTCAGAAACCCAACTATAAAGACGGTAATTATAAAGACGGTAATTATAAAGACCACAGATGGATAAATCTATAACGAAGAGAAGAAACCAGTCTAAAAAGGCTGAGAATACCCAAAATCAGAACGTCTCTCCCTCTACAGGGGATCACAGTTCCTCATCAGCAACGGAACAAGGCCTGATGGAGAAAGACTGTATTCCATTAGCAGAAGCAGGCTTTAAAAAGTGGATGATAAGAAACTTCTGGGAATTAAAAGAACTTGTTCTAACCCAATGCAAAGAAACTAAGAACTTTGAAAAAAGGTTTGACGAAATGTTAAAAATAACACACAATTTAGAGAGGAATATGAGTGAATTAATGGAGCTGAAAAACACAACACGAGAACTTCGCAAACTATGCACAAGTTTTAACAGCCGAATTGATCAAGCAGAAGAAAAGCTATCAGAGGTCGAAGACCAACTTAATGAAATAAAACAAAAAGACAAGATTAGAGAAAAAAGGATAAAAAAGAACGAGCAAAGTCTCCAAGAAATATGGGACTATGTGAAAAGACCTAATCTACGTTTGTTAGGTGTACCTGAATGTAACGAAGAGAATCAATCCAAGCTGGAAAACACGCTTCAGGATATTATTCAGGAAAACTTTCCCAACCTAGCAAGGCAGGACAATATTCAACACCACAAAGATACAGAGAACACCACAAAGATATTCCTCAAGAAGACCAACCTCAAGGCACATAATCGCCAGATTCACCAGGGTTGAAATGAAAGAGAAAATACTGAGGGCAGCCAGAGAGAAAGGTCAGGTTACCCATAAAGGGAAGCCTATCAGACTCACAGCAGATCTCTCAGCAGAAACCCTACAAGCCAGAAAAGAGTGG